AACAATGCACATGGGCTCCAGGACCCTGGGGGATCAAGAGGCGTGTGAACCTGTTGTTTGTCTTCGGCTACTATAGGACTTCATCTCCTGACGTTTTCCCACAGCCTTGTTTATCAGATCTTTAGGTCGAAGACCCTGGCTGTGGACTTCTGAGAAAATCACTTACTCCGGCTTGCGCACTCGAGTAGATTCACAGCCCACACACATCAATTGACTTGTGTGGCGCTTATGTATTTGGTGCACCTTTGTACAAATATTTATATGTTCAAATAAGTAACAGATCGAACTATCCCCGAAGTCACTGTCCTTAAGGTGTATATGTAGAACTATGGTCTACTATTATATTAGTACTGCTCTAATAATAGACCTAATCCTAAATTTGTAGATTTGTCATGATATAACTGCCTAATCTATAAGATCTTACGTGGAATTCACACCATCGACTACACCAACTCACTGTATCGTATCAATTACCAATACATGATGTAGAACAAGGTTAGGCTAGAGAAGGAACAATATATTTAATATGAATAGAAGATATAAGGTAACATTCAGATGGACCACGCCTGCATGGCCGAGCCATGCCATCCGATCAACCCCAGTCCATTCAATTCATTGTTTGCGCCTTCTCCATTGTTAGGTATTTCTCCGCGTTAAATATTGAATATCTATTTTCTGAATAGTCTCGTGTTCACAGCTTTGTGGATTGTGTGGCTATTGTCCAATGCCACTACACTACTCTCCCACCAGAATCAACGTGATGTTGGTTTGGTACCAAATTGGATGGGATCGTCGCGCGCCGGAGGTTACCAAGGATAATAAGAATCCTCCGGGTATTGGTAAGCTGAAAGGTAAATCAAAAAGAAAGCGGCAGCATCTGGTCGGGAAATACATGTAATAATTTTAAAATATCTGCCTTCATGCTTAAAACGCTTGAAATGAAAATTTGGGTGAAGATTATTTGAGCTATAAAAAATGGGGTTACAATAATAATAATAAAACGATGCGTGTTAATAGCCGTTGGTTAATAACTTAACGTATAGGTAGTATTTTGTGTTTAGAAGTATTAAATTGATGAATATTGTAGGAATATTAATATTGCTATTAGTTTTGGTTTAAATTATGAAATCAAATAACGATTATGCCGGTAAGTTGTCCATATGAATTGAATTCCAAATGCATCTGTATTAGTAGGCTAACTGAAGGAACAAAAGTATACCGTGGAGAAGAATTCCAACTAGTTTTCCAGTTAGTTTGATACGGTTTATTTAGTTACGGGGAGATTTTCTCAACCTCATTTTTACTTGATCGTGATAGAATTTAGTAATACTACTAATACACATGAATGTTCATCAAAACACAATTTAAATACGTGAGTGATGATTGTATGAATTTTGGACAGATAGCTAGGAACAAATCGTTAAACATGAGTGTATTCGTAAGAGACATGCTCTAGACTCAATGTTCTGATCCGTGGCAGACTATTTATTTATATTTATACTTGCCGGCTGATTGGGCATGCAAGTTAGTTGCAATTATGCAGTTTATTATAAGGCGGAATACGATTTAATTGAAACATAATGGTAAAAAAAAAAAAAAAAAAAAAAAAAAAAAAAAAAAAAAAAAAAAAAAAAAAAAAAAAAAAAAAAAAAAAAAAAAAAAAAAAATAGTGAGTGATGCTCATGTGATTATCAGGGAGAAGTTGTAACCAGGGGAGTACACTCCCAACTCATGTCTATGATAATGGCTTGAACCTTAGTCAGTGTTGGGGTAAATTCGACATTGATGTTTTCAGTTTGCAGGAGATTTGCTCGACTGCTTATACTGATTATTTGCATGCATGATTGTGTCGCTAAACCACCAATTAGACTGACAAGGTTTTGAGATATTTACTGAATGAGCAACTGATAGAGAAACATACTGTAATCATCTGTGATGGATGAAGATACCAAGAAAACAACACCATTTAATGGTAATTATAAGTCAATTTGTTGACCGATTTTGTTGATAGTTTCATTAATTTTATCAGTCATATTACGTGATTGTCAAGTTATGACAATGCTTTATGACGATATCCTGAAACTATTAAATTTAACTAGTTATAGTGTTGATTGAGGATTAGTCAGTGGAAAAATAGGTATTGTTGTTTTAGGTGATTCGAAATCATCAGAAATTTATAACGTTAAAGAATCCGAGACGCCTAATTTAATTATAAATTTCAATTCAGAAATATTCGTTTAATGTTAATTCTGGTAGGCTACAGAGTTTTGATTTTAAACGTTTGTTTAGCCAACAGCTACTTTATGATTTAGTTATTTGACTAGTGCAGTTGATAGTACCTAAATTTTTAATCTTATTATTCAAACTATGTTCGCATTTTAGGCTGCTAATATGATAAACCAATCCATAAACCCAAATACGATTAGCAACAACGACTATGACGGGTTTATTAATAAGTGTTAAAGGCGATCCAGATGATTTCTAAATTTAGAAGACATGGGGACATAGTGTAACGTATGCATGAGCCAGGTTAACATGCAGGTTGTTGACGTATATGGCGATTTAAAAATAATGAACATGACCAGAAAATAATTTTAAAGTTTTGACTGCTTGTGAAACTTCAGGCAGGAATATGATGCGTTATATACATTCCATAAGAAGTTACTGCATTTAGCCTAGGGACACTTACAAATATATAGCAAAAGGAACCGGAAAACATATACATGTTAAGTAAAAAAATCATTAAGTAAAATAGTTGAACTCGCCTGGGTTATTTTTGAAAATTAGATTATTCAGTGGACGACATATATAACGCCGTTCGTGAGGAGTAGTAATGATCCAAAAGTATCCAGAATAAAACATGCAGTATGGCAATTAATCCCAGGGTGCTTGATGGTATTGACGTTTTTCCCACTCGCTCGGATCAGAACAACCGAATGAATCCAGATAATTGTGTGGTTGTTATTGAACGAGCCATCTAAAATGACCTTATGATTGCAGAACTGAAACTCACCGTATGTTTTTGGAGAAGTGTCATCCTTGTTGTTTGGCAATGGAACTCGAGAATTTGAAATTAGGCAGGCAGTGGTCGGAAGAAAAGATATTAAAGGATAGTGCATAGTTTAAAACAGGATGAGGTGTTAGGTGACGGAACACTGATAATTAGATCCAGATAACTATTTAGTCCTTGATTGCATTGTTAGTCAATGTATGCTTACGCTATTTACAGGTCATATTTGCTAGGGCTTGATGCTTAAACAAGTCTATGTCGCTGAAGCATGTAAATGCTATTAAAGCTTGTTAACGAATCATCAAAGCTAATTAGTTAATATAGACGACCAGTTTTTATTATCGATTGAGCTTGTATGCATGAGAACTAATCAATATAACATTACGATAATACATCTGACCATTAATCAGGACTGTTAGAATATTGGGTTAACATATATACAAAATAGATCAAGAAATTTAGAATGGAAATAAGATTAAGTACAAAATGCACGACCGAATCAATAAAAATCAGAGCCAGGGATGACCTCGCATCGACGAAGTGCGTTGAAGATCCGAGCCAACGGAACCACCATCCACCAACGAGTTAAAGATTACACATGATGTATTTTTTGGGCGTTTTGTGGGAAGCTTTAATCATACATAGATATCGAAACAATGATTTATTTACAAACGATATATAAAAAGACATATCTAAAAAATCCACCTTTTTTCTTTACACAGGGAGATTTTAAGGTGCAACCAACTCGGAAGACTAGGAAAAAGGCCTATACAATGTCTTACATCCAGTAGTCGTCCAGTTCTTCTGGGAACTAAAAAGTTCTTCCAATGCGCGTCATTTTCAGACGCTTGTCAGACGTCAGAGACGTTTTGTCGTAGTCTTTAAGCATCCAGGATTGCTTCATAGCAGCGGATTTTCTTTTTGCAAGCGGCTCTCGGCCGGTCAAAGATTATTTTATCTTTAACTTCATTTTCATTAATCGTGTAGTACTTGGTCTTGGCTACGGAGAACAATATAGGGTTCTTTATATGCAGCTTCATAGAGTGGGCATAGTGAGTTACGACCTAGTAAGACGGTTTCGCTGAGGCTTTGGGAGTCATGAACGATAACATCAATTGAGTGCGATCGGGTGGGAGCAGGTCTGACTGAACGCTTTGCGTTTGTAGGTTTGTTCATATATGAGTGCTGGTCCACATTCATTGAAGGAGATTAAGGATCAACGAGCTCTCCTGGAAGTCAGAGTGTCCCTGCGTAAATGAGTTGTACTTTGGTGTATACAACGTCAGGTTTGCTGCATTGCGAATACCGAGTAATATGCGTGGAAGAGCGTTATTCAACTGTAATATGTTTGCAGCTGGGAGTGAAGGTTTTAACTGACTGTGAAAGCGTTTCGCCAATCAGTTTTCTTATGGGTGTTAGGTGTTGGTTCAATATCGTATGAATGCTGGAGGTGTGATGTTGTAGAACTATGGTCTACTATTATATTAGTACTGCTCTAATAATAGACCTAATCCTAAATTTGTAGATTTGTCATGATATAACTGCCTAATCTATAAGATCTTACGTGGAATTCACACCATCGACTACACCAACTCACTGTATCGTATCAATTACCAATACATGATGTAGAACAAGGTTAGGCTAGAGAAGGAACAATATATTTAATATGAATAGAAGATATAAGGTAACATTCAGATGGACCACGCCTGCATGGCCGAGCCATGCCATCCGATCAACCCCAGTCCATTCAATTCATTGTTTGCGCCTTCTCCATTGTTAGGTATTTCTCCGCGTTAAATATTGAATATCTATTTTCTGAATAGTCTCGTGTTCACAGCTTTGTGGATTGTGTGGCTATTGTCCAATGCCACTACAATGTAACAACGAGAAGACCAGACTGTAGGATCAAAACCACGTTTGGACTGCTGAACAGCTGCCTGGATAAGTTCGATACGCGCCCTCGCCCGTTTGAAACCAAAACAAGGTAATTGGGTAAGATAGCGGTTCTATAATTTATCATAAATTTAAGTATACATTATTACCTAAACAAATATAACCACACAGCTATCCAACCAATAATTGTTTAATTGATCAAATCTAAACTACAATAAATAAGAAAGTTGATAAAGAATGCAAGAAAATTACCAATCACCACAAATAAATGTTATTCTATCCTGTCTGGATAGATCACGTACAGATTCGTTCAAAAGGTAATAATTGGTCGCTCTATAACACAGAGTGTTTTCAATTCTGGAAGAGTGCTTCAATTCACAACCAAAATGCACAATTCCAGTCAACACAGGTCAAGCAATCAAAGGCAGGAACCAACCAAAATGGCTGCCGCTCAGACTTAGTATAAAGTAAAACAACATAAGTGCAGTTCGGGAAGAAACATGGGGAATTAGTGAAGGTGTGGTAAAAACAAAAACTATAATAAAATACAAAGATTAACAATTCAAATGTAGTCCAAAAGTTAACAATGTACAACTAAGAAGATCAATAGGAACAAAGTGCAAGTATATACATGGAGGGATTTTCACAAACACACAAGGCATTCAAAATGGATCTTACACCGGCCCCCAAAATCCCTCCATATCACACAAGCTACCTTGATGCCTACGGTCATGGTTCATTATATAACATATCACACCATAGGAACGAGTAGGACTTACAACAGTACGCCTACTCGACCTAACTACATCAATAACAACAAAGACTAATCCAAAGCTTCAAGGAGACCTGCTTCACCTGTTCTCTCGTGATCAACAATAACAGTCTTGGTATAGACCTAATCACTCTTCCCCAAATTACACCCATGCTGTTGGATGAGGACCTCGCTGACAATTCAATATTTATCTTCTGCTGATTCGACTGTTGCACAAACCTCCTTAATTCAGAATCTGCTCCCATGAAGCTTGACGCACTATCACTGTAAATCTCCGGAGGTTTCCTTCTTCTTCCAATAAAACGTAATAAGGCCATTATAAATGAACCAGTAATCAAACTATACATCAGTTCAATATGTATTGCCCATGTTTGCAAACAAGTAAACACATATCTATATCCTTTTTCTAATGACCTTCCTATGTGTCCTGGTTCTTTATGACAATGTCTAATTATCGTTTCCGTCACTAAGTGTCGACTGGGTAAAATTACTGGACGTTCAAAAGCATTTAATAATTCTGAGTAGCTTAGACGACCTGTAACACAGAGTAACCCATCAAGCATTATCGGTGATAAACCTTTCAGATCATTATGACTTACTACTTTACTTCTGTTTCTAAATTCACTAAATAATTCTCCACACACTTCCTTTTGAACCATCAATAAATTCTTACCCTTGGCGATGTCAGGCTCCTTGACCTTTAAACATCCTAGATGAACGGATCCTTCATGACTCGGTGAACGAAGCACCATCAGAAATTCTATGAACCTTCTAAGCCAGGCTACGGCCCCGACTAATTTCAACCACTCGGATTTATAAGAGAGAATAGGTGACATGTTTTGCTTTATACTACTCAAGTTAACCACAGCAATTTTTCTAAACTCAATATCGTCAGGAGTAGGTTCCGGACAGTCAGTGATTGTTATATAAAATTCGCCATGCAATAAAGTAGGACATTTGAACCAATATTCAAGATCGATCATTTTTTGCATACTTCCTCTACATAATAATTCACTTATATGCTTAACGAAACTCTTTGCTTGATCACAATTGGGAATGGATATCAAGCAATCATCAACATAGAAATTATTCTTGACAGCATCTACAACATAACCATCATAACCGTCAGAGAATATTTGAGCCGTCTTATTCAAGGTAAAGTTCGCACGAAACGGCGATGATATGGCACTAAATGGATGAGATGTCATTTGAAACTCAGATGGTTCCCTCGACATGTCTCCCTCCTGCCACCACAGAAATCTTGAAGCTCCTCGATCAGACTCAGAGACCAATTGCATGAACATTTCTTCAACATCTGCAGGGATTGTAACTGCCTCCTTGCGAAAACTTAATAATATACACATTAACTCATCAGTGGTATCGGGTTCTTGATAAATCATATCATTTGTGGAAAACCCTGCAAACTCGGCGGCACAATCAAGGACCACTCTAAGTTCCTCTGGTTTTTTCATGTTTAACACTGCATGATGAGGTAAATACCCTCGAGGGCGATAATTAGGCTGCAAATATATTTCAAGGACCCTCTCCGCATAAGTCTTAGTAAAATTACTTTCAATACTTTTGATGTACCTGATGTTCAGGCTGACGTCCTTCGACAACATACCTTTCAAACTTTGTAATCTACGGTTTGCTACTTCATAATTATCCACTTTCATATTTGGATTCTTTTTCCACGGTATAGAAACTACAAAATGACCGTCGCCGAAGTGCGTGCCCCCTTCCACAATCTTTATAGCCCCCTTGTCGTCTACTGATAATGATTTATCACTTGAATAAGCATCTGAAAACTCATCATAAAGCTTACGTATTTCGTTCTCCAGTGTCTGTACCTTACTGATATGATTAACAACTCTTTTCCTATATTCCGAGCATGATGGCTTATCATTTACGACGTTGCTTGTCGAGTCAGTGTGCAGCAGAACGTGATGTCTCTTCTTACAACTGTCAACGTTACAGAGCCTTGTCATCTTACATTCATTAACCTTATGTCCTTGTCTAAGACAAACAAAACATATACCCTTGCTTTTAGCGTGAGACCATCGGTCTTGAACTGTAAGCGCTAAGAACTGTGGACATTTATCAATAGCATGGTCGTAGGAACACATACTGCATTTAGTTTTCGTTGTCGAACTATTCCCTTGCTCTGATTGCACGTGACAGTTCGTCTTTACGTTATGTCCTTTTCTTGAACGGTTTGCTAACCGTCCAAATCTACTACAAGCCACTCTCGCACGCGATGCGATAAACTGAGTGAGCTCGTCGAAGGTCGGTTCCCTGTTATCTTCAGTCAATTTATCCACCCAGTCCGCCCACTGGGCTTGCAAAGGTTGCGGCAAGAGTCTCACTATTCTTTCCAAGGTAACTAAGGAATTTAGATCAGAAGTATAATTCATCTGTTCCAAGACCATGGCACAGTTTTCCATTTTAATAGCCAAGTTGGATAGTTGGTCCCCATCAATATACTCAAAATTCACAGCACTGAATAATTCCTTTATGGCACCGTAGGCTAAAACACAATTTAATATTTCTCTACAAAGCGATATATGGGCTCTCCTTTCTAACCTCCTGCCCGACTATCACCCACGACCCAGCCTATAGACTTAGAAACAACGCATATACACTACTTACCGTAAAACACCAAAAACAAATGCGTTGTAAGTTCTTTACAGTACGGTACAGTTTATTGTGGAACAGGCTGCCAATGCCTATCCGTAACTGTGATACGTTTACCAGATTCAAAAAGCTAATAACCCTATTTCTAGACTCCAAAGAGCTTCAACATTACCTTGAACTCCCGCCCACCGATGAGGCACTTTATTATGGACCGCCTAGTATCTAGAAAGAACAAAATTATAACAAGTTCGACTGTTACTAATATGAATATAACCAAATCACAGGATATATGGCTTATCCTTTCCTATTATTCATTGTTTATTAATCATGACTTCATGCTCCTAACCCTAGCTTTCAGTCCCCAAATCTCTACAGGTTAAATGTACATTATTCTTCCTAAAAGTCATGCTTTTTTTTTCTACTGCAAGTAGACAGATAGCTCAATCTTATGGATGCTGATCTACTAAGGCCGATCATTCAAAGCTCAAAATTTGGCCACAAAGTCTTGTGAGTTTCTCAATGTCTTATTTTTTTTACCCTAAAGTCTTTTTCTTTTTTTTCTACAATTTTATACCCTCTCATATCTTTTGATTTACTATTAATCCTTACTTCTTTAAACCATTAGTTATTTTCATAGCAGTGTGATATACTATATGGACGTCTAACCCATAAAACAGAATTTTTAAATATCTGATTTGCTTGTAACATGGACCTAGTAGAGACAGTGTATTCCAACTATGTACTTTGATTAAAGCATTAATCATACTTACCACAAACGTAAGAGAGCCTAACATCACAAAAGGAGGGAGGGTGGCGTTACTGACCAGCAAACATGAAGGTGGGGAGATAACTTCAATCCACCCATGTCTGTAGGGCAGAACATTTTGTTTAATTACGGCTCCTTATGGTTTAGTGGGATGTCACGGACTTAAGGTATTGAAGCTGATTTATCACGCAAAATACCTCTTTAAATCGTGTTACGAACGTTAAATTGGTTTCACTTCCTACTCAGAAATCCTATTACAAGCAAACTAGACAATTCGCTAATATACGAAGCCTACTCAAGACCCTATAAAACCTTAAAAAAAACGAAAGGGGCTCTAATAGCTTCGATAATAAAAGGAAGATAGCCAGTTGTATATCACAATACTGTTTCTAGCACTATATTTTATTTTATAATCACACATAATCTTATACTCTCAGCTCTTTTCCGAATCGCCTCCATTTGTCAGTTGTATGTCCACTCACACCTTGCTAAAGCTTATTTTCTTTAACCTATTAAAATGCTCTTTCTTAACAAATACCTTAATAAAAGAAAATTAGACTGAGTAATCATACCTTAAACATTCCTACATGAATATTGGCTACTCTGCCTCTCGTGTTTTCTTTTACTTCCCCCCTCTTTCAGCTCCCTTGAGATATGGAACAGGTTACTTCATCCTGCACCATCCTTAAAGCCTTGGATATCCCAAAGGGACATAAGGTTGCGATTTCTAGAAGCTCATACCTTCAATGGACCTATTCTTGATCGTCAGTCGCACATTCGCAACGCAACTCTCGTGAAGCGCGCCAACTATAGTACTGATTAAAACAATCTACATTCATGTCTTATAAATTTTCAACCCAGCTATGTAATTTAATACAGTGTATATTGTATCATTTGTATCAATTTGGTCTTGCCTGTAAACTGGCATGCCTCATGTAACAAACTGTTATTTGAGAATAAATTATTATTATTATTGTTTCTCTAGCAATTACGTGAGACTGTCCGAAAGAACGTTTTAAAATCTCCCTTGCTCTTTTATAGCCAGAGGACGCCTCCATCATGACGCAACCTTCAATAGCTGTTTTAGCCTTGCCCTTACAGTAGTGTATCAAGTAGAGTAAGCGCTGGCTATCATCCGTGACTCTTGACGCTACATACGTCTCAAATTGCCTTATAAATTTCCAATAACCTCTTGGCTCTCCATCGAAATAACTCAGTTCAACCTTTGGTAGCTCTGGGCCAACAACGTGGACTATAGGCGACATGCTCTTTCCTAGTAATTCAGGCCTTTGCTCCTCCTTTAAACTAAGATTTTTTACATCATCTGACATCGGATTAAGGCTAGAATCACTGCCATGATAATTAACCCTATTTAAGTCTGAACCATGACCCTTAAGGACATCAAAAAGTACTTGCTTGACGATAGGGGATTCTTTGTTAACATCGACGAACTTTGAGCCTGATCTCCGACGACGATTAACTGGCATTATAAGCGACACGACCAATTATTTCCAGAAAATCCGTGAACGATTACCAAAGGATTTCGGCCAAGTAAAATTTGTTTAGAACTGTAGGAAACGACCAAATATTTTCAAGAAGGATAACCAAAATCCACGAAACGATTCCCAAACGACTTTGACCAATTAATATTTGTTTAGAACTGTAGGATCCAAACCACGTTTGGACTGCTGAGCAGCTGCCTGGATAAGTTCGATACGCGCCCTCGCCCGTTTGAAACCAAAACAAGGTAATTGGGTAAGATAGCGGTTCTATAATTTATCATAAATTTAAGTATACATTATTACCTAAACAAATATAACCACACAGCTATCCAACCAATAATTGTTTAATTGATCAAATCTAAACTACAATAAATAAGAAAGTTGATAAAGAATGCAAGAAAATTACCAATCACCACAAATAAATGTTATTCTATCCTGTCTGGATAGATCACGTACAGATTCGTTCAAAAGGTAACAATTGGTCGCTCTATAACACAGAGTGTTTTCAATTCTGGAAGAGTGCTTCAATTCACAACCAAAATGCACAATTCCAGTCAACACAGGTCAAGCAATCAAAGGCAGGAACCAACCAAAATGGCTGCCGCTCAGACTTAGTATAAAGTAAAACAACATAAGTGCAGTTCGGGAAGAAACATGGGGAATTAGTGAAGGTTTGGTAAAAACAAAAACTATAATAAAATACAAAGATTAACAATTCAAATGTAGTCCAAAAGTTAACAATGTACAACTAAGAAGATCAATAGGAACAAAGTGCAAGTATATACATGGAGGGATTTTCACAAACACACAAGGCATTCAAAATGGATCTTACACAGACTTCAACTGTCGTCCATAGTCTGAAGTGGGGGTTGAAGGGGAGACGATATTTTCTACTCATCGTTCGACGAAGGCGCGAGCCACTGTTGCAGCATTCATCATGTGAGACGAGCCACACACGTTAGGGACAGGAATATCCGTTTGATTCCGGTAAGCATCCTACCAAGTCGAAATGAAAGTGGTCGACACGAGCGGCAGTCGCTGCGGAAGAAAGTGCGTGGCATTTGTGTGTCTAAACACCTAAAATTTCTTGCAACCCAAACAACAGTGTGGCCATTCCATCATGTCTACATTTATAACAGGCCGAATAAACCTCCCGCTAAGAGCTTGATGGCCGCTTGAACACATGAATGAGTAAACTTGTGCAACGTATTAAAGACGTTGCGTCGATAATGTTCCACTATCTATTCTGATCCGTTTGATTCGTATTTTCAGTGCCGTCGAAAACAACTCGTGCTGAAGATTGGTGTTTTCATTTAGACAAGGTGTCTACGACTACACTGTTCACTCTAGAAACATGTCGTATATCAGGAGTAAGTTGCGAACTTCACTGGAATTGTAGAAACTCTCGAGGAGCATACTTGTCTGAAGATGAGCTAAGAGAAAAATTAGATAGTTTATGGTCTGTGAACTGCGTGAAGCTTCGGTAACGCAAGGTGTTGGAAGTGCTGTACGACACAACTAGTATTTTCATTTCTACATAATGAACTTAGAAGGTGAAGGTAATGTATTGATTTTTGAAAAGGCCTGAGTAAACGTTTGGCGTCCAGCATAAATAACATTTCGCTTATGGTAGTACGACGAAGTTTCCAATCAAGACTTAATGTGAGAGGGTTTTTGTACATACAATATGCTTTTTCATGGTATGTTGTTTTGTAGAACATTAGTGTACACAGTTTCTACTACAGTGTGTTTAGAGTGGTAGAATATATGATGATTGTTTGTGTAAGTCAATACGAAATGTTAATGAGCGTCATAATTACAGTAGGAAATCAGCTAGTGAATTTACAGATATCACCTTGAATATACTTAAATCTATATAGTGCGTATTTAGAGTAGCTATTGGTTCAATACGATATAAACACTAGAAAAAACTATGCTAAATACAAGGCATTAAAAGTTTACTTTTCGGATTTCTTAAAACTCTGGGCTGATTCACTAAAGGTCCAAAACGAATCCAAGGTAAATCCACAGAACTGCCTGGACGAATGATTGTTAATTTCTGGTATTCGTGTTTTCTGTTTGAGTATGGGTTTGGGTGATCAGCAGTGATATAGGAGTAGTTGTAACAACTTGGATTGATTAGTTAAGAGTTGTCCTGAAACATCTTAGTGTCTGTTAAAACAATAAACCTCAAGCATTCATTGACCTCCTTATTTTTTATACGTATGATACTTCCTATTATCTTACATCGAATTTTGGAAAAAACTTTGTGTGTTTGAATAGGTAACTTCCTGCTCCACCATGTGCTATCCCACGATCCGAATAAACACCTATCTACTACTAGTCTGGTTTCTATCAAGAGAACGAGGGATAACCGCCGGCCCAAAACAGTCACATCAGAACGATAAAGAGACTGTTAGATGTATTGAGAATCGCTGACCTGTCCAGTATTACTTACACCAAGTGCATAAATCACGTGTCGATAAAATTTCATATTACCTTGCAGCTATACTAACAGATGGTTGGTATTCTCACCGACATATCAAATAGGAGCATTTGTAAGCAACTAATAATTTTTGAAGAACCATGGTAGCTGATTATAATCGGTTTTTAGTATAGATAGATGTGGTGAGTCAAATTTAAGTACAAATTAATTTTGAGATAAGAAAGTGAAAGTTCGCTGTGATTGACAGACTCATTTAATAAGAACTAGCTTCCATAGTGGTGCGATCTCTTAGCTCATGTCAAAGTTACTCCTTGCGGTTAATACATAACCTCGGTTATTCTATTGTAATAGTCAGGTGAACCGAATTTCTAGGTGACTGGTAAGTATAAATAGCCTCCATAAACAACAGATTATGTTGATGGAAACAGGTCGCAGAAGTAGAAGGAGAAGCCAGTACCACATCGTTTGTCCATGGCGTGTAGTTCACTGAATCGTATACGTCATTCTTCAACCCGAATTATGTTTGATAGACTGTCTAACTTTAGTGATACGTCGACTGACGTAGAAGGGGTTCAACCTGATTTTTTAAATGTTCGGTGACGATTCACTGCATTTCGGGTCTCTCAGCTGGATCAAAACAAGAAATATTAAGGTCCTTCACTACACACAGTATTTTATCGCATGTTCAGGTTCCAAAAATGTCATGCCGGTTAGATAAACAAATCAAGAGAGATCATTGAGAAATTCATTGAAAACCCCGAATTATTCATCACAGTTATCAATACAGTGCAGAATGATCAGACGTATACCTGCTAAAAAGTACAGGATATAATGTAACATATGTGAAATACTTTCATATCATATCACAGTTTCGGCAATCAGGATTTTCAAACTTTCCACTGGAGTAGGTTGGATTTATTCATTTAAGTGAACCTCCACTTTTCACCCAGTCATCCAAATATTCTTTTCATCTTTCTCTTTTCCAGATTCTCTGACATACAGTCCTTTACCAATCCATCAGACACACAACCCATCTTCAGACTAGATAAACATTTAAACTTGAATGCCACAGTGATGTACGATGAATTTGAAAAAAGAACCTTAATAATCTTCTCAGGCTTTGCTTACTTACTGTTTGGACAGGCATTTTCCAGCTTTGAAATAAGACGTTTGTTCCTTAAATTCTCCCGAAGTTTGTTTCTTCACTCTGATTATCAAGGTTGACGTACTATAAACAATGCGAAGTTCCAACTAAGATTACAATGTACTGCCGTCTTTCCGGTAGAGCATCGTCACTCATTCTGTTTGTCCTGAACGGACTTTCCATAGTAACACTCGTATCTTAAACCTAAGCTGATTTTTAGCTGTTTGGAGTTGCTTTAATATCCCTTGGGATCGTATGTGTCGTTGACCATGGAAATATGTCTGAAGTTGTTGGAACCTCACTCTATTCGTCTGGAGTGTACATAGTCATCTTCTTAGGACTTGTTATTACAATCGTAGCTCTATGTGGTTACATCGCAGCTGATAGAGAAAATATCTGCCTGATTGTGTCAGTAGGATTTACATATTATCAAATTTCGAACATTTGTAGTATATATTCATTTTATGCTTACTCGCATTACTCTTGTTGATATCAGGAATAATAGTTTTGTCCTTTAGAAGTTCAGTGAGTGAATTTTAAAACTTTACAGTCACGTATTTTACAATTTAGCTTGGTGAATCGGCTAGGAGTGTGATGGTAGATTCGTTAAGGAATCACTATGGACGATATGGGATTATAACTGATGCTTGGGACTTGGTACAGAGGCACCTACGTTGCTGTGGAGTGGATAACATCGGATGGGGTGTATATAACGGATCGTGGTGGGACATGATTGTAAACTCGGATTTATACGAAACGAACACTAAATTGTCAGGTATATAAAGACTACTTCGTGATTGACATATGATAAAGAATCAAGTTTGTTTTACTTATTTGTTCCAGAATCTTGTTGTGTCAAGAAACTTGATGGGTTGACTGGTTGGCCAACTGAAGTATACCGGGATAGGAGACGCTGCCAGACGTGGCAGTACGGACCACCGAATAAAAGCAGTGGACCTCACAACGACGCTATTTACTATGCAGTAATTTTTTTTACAGTTAGTATGTTAATTTTGTTTAGGGATGCTTTGAAAGTTTGAAAAGTTATATAAATAATTATGCTAAGGCTGTGGGCTTCTTGGCACTGATCGCGTGCATTATCTTGGTAAGTTAAATTTTCTCTTAAATCAATCTGTGTACAACCAAAGTATAGGTTATTTATTATTATTTATTTTATTTGAACACATGAATATTGGTACAAGAGAGCGCCAATATATATGCGCCACACAAAACAATGAGAATTCGAAGAGAAATAGAAAGAAAAAAACTAAGGAGCGCAAAAGAAAAAGAGAACAATAACGAAGAGATTGGTGTAAGGTAGTGTGGTAGTAACGAGGGAACAGAAAGGTACAATCAGAAGAAATCTTTCAGGTAAGGAGACACAACCACTTTTTATGAAGAAAGTAAAAGAAGGTTACAGCAGGATCGCCACTGGCTTCTATTCTGAGCCATATCTGATAACGTCTCTAGCCACTGTGTAGCACCATCTCTCGGACCCCAACCAGGGAGTCGTGAAGGACCAACACAAGCCAGTCCTTTGCAGCTTTCTTTCATGCCACGACACCATGTCATGCACTGACCACCTCTCCGCTTCTTCCAACCAGTCCCAGAGTCGGCAAATAATGCACGACGTGGAATTCTCTGGGACGACATTCGGAGAACATGTCCAAGCCACCGAAGTCGGTGTTTCAAGATGGTGACACCAATTGATTATCATCTCTGTGCCCGAACACACGATGCCGAACCTCTGCATTACTGACATGGTGTTGCCACTGAATGTCAGCAATCCTTCGGAGACAGCGATGATCGAACACAGAGAGTCGTCTAACGTCCTCAACTCGGAGAGGCCAGGTTTCACAAGCATAGAGCAAAACTGCTCTCACCGACGCGTTGTAGATCCGACCTTTTACAGCCAGACTAACATCACGAAGGCGCCAAAGGTGGCCCAGATTGGCATAAGCCGCTCTGGCTTTCACTATTCGTGCATTGATCTCATCACTCACACCCCCACCAGCACTTATGCAGCTACCCAGATACACGAACTTCTCAACTACGTCTATCTGCTCACCATCCAGGGTGAGTACAGGATTAGAATCCTGCCAGTCTTGTAGAAGTACTTTGCACTTCGAAGGTGCAAAGCACATACCATACCTACGGACACTGATTGCCAACTGATTAAGTGCGGATTGCATGCCTTGGGCATTATCGCACAGTAAGACAATATCGTCCGCATACTCAAGGTCGAGAAGTCTTTCTCCAGGCAACAGATCCACACCACCATTACTTACATTCATCAGAGCTGTTTCCAGAATGTCATCGATGGCAAAGTTGAAGAGGAATGGTGAGATTGGGCAACCCTGCCTAACCCCACTGCTCGAATGGAACAATGGAGAGAGGTGGTTGTATGCCCTCACTCTGCCTGAGGTGTTTTTATATAGGGCTTTTAGGATGTTAATAAACTTCTCAGGCACACCCTTCTTCAATAGACAATCCCAGAGAACAGTCCTGTCCAACGAATCGAAGGCAGCCCTGATGTCAAGAAACACTACGATTGTTGGCCTTTGATAAGTATGGCGGTGTTCTAACATTTGGCGGAGGGTGAAGATATGATCAATACATCCTCGACCAGAACGAAACCCAGCCTGCTCCTCGCGAGTCAATCTTTCTCGGGTTTTGAACAACCTACGAAGTATGACGGAAGCCAATAGCTTGGACGCAATCGGAAGTAGACTTATCCCCCGATAGTTGTTACAGGAACGACGTGAACCCTTTTTAAAGATAGGGACAACTATCGACTCATTCCATGACGTTGGTACACTCTCTAGTTCCCAAACCTTTGTAAACAACGTCGTCAATTCCTTAGTCAAAAAGTCACCACCATCTTTAAAAAGAGCCGGAGGTAAGTCATCTGGGCCAGGTGATTTGTAACGCTTCAAGAGTTGGAGTTCCTTGCGGACTTCCTCCTCGTTTGGTGGATCAGTCGTCACCGGCCATGGAGGGCAGGACAGTCTGACCGATGTTGCCGGAGCAGCAGGCCAGTTGAACTGCCCTTCGAAAAATTCTGCCCATCGTCCAAGACGTCGATGGATGTTAGTGATTGGCATCCCATCATCCTCGCAGATTGTTTCACTCACACCAGACTTCTTGCTGCCAGTGGCTCGGATGAGCTGGAAGAGCTTCCGGTAGTTACCAGATGCAGCTGCTGCTTCCAGCTCATTAGCACGCATCGACCACCAGGCTTCTCGGTCCTTACGCAAGCTTTGCCCAATTTCCTTACGTAACATCCTTCGTTTATGGTCAAACTCACGGTCACCCGGAGTAGACCGACGGGCTTCAATGAGTTGTAAGGAACCAGAAGAAACCCAGTGCTTAAAAGCGGGACGTTTCGCAAACCCACAACTGACTGTTCCCGCCATTTTCATGGCGTCATGCAATTGCAACCAATGCTCATCTATACTTTTCGGTGGAGTGGTAGCTAGCCTAGAGGCTAGCTCGGTTCGATACTTACTTGCAACAGAAGTTGCAACCAGCTTGCTAACATCAATCCGTTGGTGGGGTCACTTCGTTGTCCACTGAAAAGTAAGGTAAGATTGGCGCAGACCAAGGCATGGTCAGAGTCCAGATAGGTACTCCAAAAGGAGCGGCAGTCTTGTACACAACCACGCCAGCGGTAGCTGATCGCGATGTGATCAATCTGAGTCCAGGCTTGAGATGCAGAGGGAGGACGCCAGGTGGCACATCGGCGATGACTGTGCCGAAAGTTAGTGCTAGCCAGAAACAGGTTGTGGTCTGTGCAAAGTTGCAGTAGACGGTCCCCGTTATCTGACCTGCGACCAACGAGTCCCCATCGGCCACCTAAACGACTCTCTTCTGTGCCTAGACGCCCGACCTGAGCATTCAAGTCTCCGGCTAGTACTACAATATCTGTCGAACGCACTTTCTGGAGAACAGATAACTGGTATAAGTTATAGAGTTGTAGTTATAAATCAGGTGCCGATTAGATAGTAAGACTTAAATACACCAACCCAGTAAAACTTTGATAAAATACGCACGTATTTGCATCTTACGGGAATTGTATGGACACTAGATCATCGATTATATCTGACTGAAAATTAACGAAAATGAAGATCCAAACGATGGTGGACAATATATAAGTCAAGGAACTGGTGAGAACCAAATACTAGTAAACACTGCCAAAAATTTTTAACGGGCCTTCATGTGAAGTTTTCTGACTAAAATATTCTTAAATCCATTCAGTATCTAGACAGCCAGCTCGAAATACCAATCGCAAAAAAGCACTTTACTCGTATAGGTTGACTAATCTCAAGATTTTTGGAGATTTATCGGATGAGTAATCGCCAATCCAAATAAAGTTCCAAACATCACATCTGACAGTAAAGGAATTTTTGTATTTTTAAAATCGCAAGCTACCGTATATGACCATGAACTAGCTAACTCGAGGAAAGAACAAACTCAAAAACTAGATATGCTGTTACTTCTACAGATTTAATTAAGAACTCATTATCCTAGGTATACTCTAAGACATGTATATATGCTGAAATTTTACATTCCTTTCATAGAAAATAAACTCTTCGGTTATCGTTGAAGTCTTTTGCATTCGACAAATGGCGGATTTCACCTGTTAGCTCATTGGTCGGACATAGTGTTCACAATGCCATAACTTACTAATATTTTCTAAATGTACTGCCTCATTTCTTTGAAATCACCAAACATAAACCTTGATACATTTCACCGGGAATGTCGAAAGCAATCAAAGTCTACCCCAATTCTTGTACTTTTATTAAGTAATTCTAAACACATAAGCTTGATTCTAATAGGGAAATTGCTGTTGTAACCGAATTAATTTTTACTTTTTTTCAACTAACAAACTCCTATCTCGTAATATTTGAAGTGCCACAGAAAATTACACTAGTTGCAACCAAACAAGTAAACATTTCTGTACTTAGCTCAGAGCACAGTTTATGAATTGACGTTATTAGTACTAAGTCCTTAAACGCTGATTAAATCAAAATAAGTCAACTGTAGTAATCGTCAGATTTCTTATGAATGGTTTGTGACTATTAAAGTCACGGACATCGATGACCAAAATCTATTCAACAAAAAATTATGACTGAGATGGAAGGTTGTTATAATCTGAAAAACTAGTATTTACATAAACATGCATATATCGTATTATATAAATGTATTGAACTTATTTCGACTAAATTCACATTATAACCGATCTGCAAAATAACATATTTCTTAATCGATATAATAACTGATAAGATTTGATGTACAGAAAAATCTAAGATCAAACGTCTGTATGACCACTATCACTTTTACCAAAATTTGGGAAAATGGTTATACCGGGCTATTTTTCAGTCTAAACGTTCTATCACTTTACGAACTTATTTGATTATAACTGAATGGTAATCGGATGAAACAAAACATTCCAAAAGGCTCTAAGAATGGGACTAGCACATTTTAGAGCCGTTATTTGTTGTTAGTTCCATAGTACTTTAGTTTACGGACAAGCAAAGGTGCTTGGATGTTAGATGGAAATTTGTAACTCAGGATGATTTTGAGGGACATTAATCTTGATAAGATAAATTGTAAGTCATATGTGAAGGAGTCCTAGTAACCCATTTCTATCTAAAGTTTGTGCTGGTGGTGCTGATTGGAAAGATAGTGAGAGCTTCACAAAGAATCACTCAGCTCATAGAGCGCAACTCCGTCGAAAATTGTTTGGTTATACCCTTTGATTTAAATTGATATGTGCCAGCGATTTTAGGTTAAACAGGTTGTCTCTGAGCAAGTAAATTATTCTATTGAAACTGACTTTGTGGCGTATATATTACCTCCGTGTGTCATCCTTTTGTCAATCTATATTATTTTGTACTAATTCAATAATAAAGTAGTATTTTTGGCGTTGCTTACGATCTACCATCTTAGATACGGTTTTCGCAACCAATGTATATAATAAAAATTTCTGATTGAATTCCAAAATCTAGATAAGCGCTTTGATCTGTGCATTATTTTTGTTCCGTGATGCTAAACTCAATGCTCAAAGAAAACAAAGACCAAAAAACTGGAGGAATCAGACACAATATAAGTAGATCAATTATATGGTCGACTGGAATACGTTGAAGCAAGAGTGAAGCTGTGATTATATATTACTGGGAAGGATATTAATCATATATAATTTATTTTATTACTAAAAAGTAAAGTATATTTATTTTCTAAAAATTACCCTTTTTATCGATTATATCTTCCAAAAATTAACCTCCGAAAATTTGTGAGAACTCCACTTGATTCAATGAGACCATAATATAAAACAAGGGAAGGAGATGAACTTTTGTCCATTTATCAGAGCTGGGGTATGGAGATTGTAGTAATTTTACTAGTTGAATTCATGAGTCGATCTAAGCTAGACCACCAGTGAAAACTTGGGAGCACTGGACGGCCACTTTTTCCTGGCAGTGCACATCTATTATCTTGCATGAGGGACTAGAACCCAGGACCTTCGATCTCGCGTGCGAACAATTAACCTTTAGACCACTGAGCCGGAAGCCAATGACGTTAGTGTCTAGCTTCAATCGATCTATGATCGTGGGCAATCATCCGTCCACTATACATTTAGCTAAAACTAGAAATCATTCCGTTTAAAATAACACTTCGTATGGTTCATAAGACAACATCTTTGAAAGCGGCTCGACTGCAGTAAAGTGTGTCGCAAGCTTTAAGATGTCCGGATCCATAACGATGTTATAAATCCTGAGGAAAAAGTTAAACAAAAAAACCACTTAGAAGTATAAAATTTATCGTTCACTTAAATATAATACACAATTACAGGAACTGATTATTTACAAATGTGTACAACGGTCACTTTGATCTCTTACCAAAACCACCAAATCCCATAGCTGCTGCGACGTCAGAATCTTCAAACTGTTCATCATTTCTACGCTTTTTCTCTTTGCGTTTTTCTTGTTTATAAGCCCTAAATTTCTCTTCTTCCTCGGCAATTTGTTTCATTCTTTCATCTAAACTGTACTCTTCCGCCTTTTCTTCGGATTTTTGCTTGTGAAGCTGAAACCTATGGCAGAGTTATAATACCACAGTAATACCTTTCTTTAACTTCTTCTAAAGTTGACCTCTTTATCCTCATTGACATTCCCATATTCCTTTGATGTTTTTTACCGTTTATATGGTCCAAATAGTTAATTGAATCTTTCACAACACAGTCACAAACTTCACAGTAGTAGCCTGCTTGTGAAGATCCTGGTCCGGTCTTTGCAATAACTTGAGATTTGTTCAGGTTAGATTCCAGGTCAATCTGTATGATATAATTTTTATAGTTTTAGGAAGACTTACTGTATAATCACGAGCTTTTAAGTACTCCTTTTTCATAGTTTCCTTTTCTTTCGAGCATTTCGCATAGCTTCTAACTCATTGCTAAGTTTATCACTCGCCAATTTCTCAAAATGAGCTTTGTCCCATTTTCTTCTGTGGTCAACAGGATTCTAAAAAAGAAGTCTTTTCCACTCATCATACTTACGGTACCGGCCATTTTAACAACAAAATACTTGACTATCGAGATGCTCTAAAAGGAAAGCTTCATTTAATAAATGCCGAGATTGGAATTGATAGTTTCAAATAAATATATTTTTGTGATAACTCAATGATTAGAGAAATGTATCTTTGAAGTTTCGTGACTTGAAGTAAGTCAAATTGTGAGCATGACTTACATCCAAGAACATGAAAATGTTAGGGTAGCATTTAACTCCATTGATCGACAAGGTTTTATGACAGTGTCATACCAAATTACAGTAACCGAGTACAGGCTTTCTATTTGAACACAAGTGGTCATAAACATTTCTTTAAAGGCAACGCTCTCATCGTGTGACTTTGCAGGAATAAATCTATCGGGAGACTAACTTGTCGAGTTGGAATATACAGGTGATAGTCCAATTCGGTGAAAACGCTGATATAATATAGTCTTCTGACCATCTTGAACAACCGTGCTAACATTTACGGTATACGTTTCACTCCACCCAAATGTCGCTTCAGGACGTATTTATTTATCTAAACACATAAAGATTGATACAAGGAAGCACCCTGTACCTATATTCACACTAGGTAGCGAGCAGTTAAAATTAGTCAAGAAGTTCGTGTATCTAGATAGCTGTGTAAGTCCTGGTGGTGGCGCCAGTGATGAGATTAATTCACGTATGATCAAAGCCAGAGCATTTTATGCCAACCTTGGCCATCTTTGTTGCCTCCATAATGCTAATATCTGTAGAAGGTCGAATCTACAATACGTCGGTGAGAGTAGTTTTGTTCTATGTTTATAAAGCCTGATCTCTTCAAGTTGAGCATGTCAAGCGACTCTCTGCGATCGATCATGGTTTCTCTGAAGGGTTACTATCGTTTAATGGAAACACCATGCTAGTAATGTGGAGGTTCGGGAACATGTGTTCAGCAACAGTGACGATAATCCAATTAGTGTCACCATATTGAAATACCGACTGCAGTGGCTTGTACATGGGGTAGGGATATAGTCCCAGCAAATTCCACATTGTGAATTGTTTTCCGCCGCTGAATAATTTGGAAAGCAGAGAGGTAGTGTTGGACATGGTGTCGTGATCATTTTAACATGCGTCAGTCTAATTGTTAATGACTTCATAGACTGATGCCATGGTTTGGTCGTCCCTGGCTTTCTACCAGCCTACTGAAACACCAGAAAACATTGCCCTCGCGGCGCTGCAATGTCGTGCATGGATAACAACTGGCAAATGCATTCCGAGTGAAGACTGGTGTCATACGAGGCTACTTACTCTCGTCCTTCCTTTTTCTTCTGGCGGTCGACTGAATTATTTCATATCAGGTTTAGCACAGAATACAATGGAGAGATTGGATGCGGCTAGACGATTCGGATTTCACAGATGAACTATTTTTTCTATTTCATACACACAACAACAAATGCAAGTGAAGACAACCTTTGTAGCAGCAGCCACCACAGTAATATACCTAAGCATACACTAGGGAAAATCCAGAATCCAAATCACAACGCAGTGAGCACCAACCAAATCAATTTTGATGTAGAAGCTCTGAAAAAGTTGTGGAGTCTATTGTACCTGGGTAATGTCATTAATAAGCAAGGGGGATTTGATGTAAATACGGAGGAATTGAATGAAAAATCAAGGGCAACATTCCTACAATCAAGGGACATTTAAAACTCAAAACAAATGTCAGCCAACATCAAAATTAGGACCCCCAATACGAGCATCAAGACAGTTCTATCGTAAAGAAAACAACAACCTGCTGCAATAGATAAAAAACCAGGTTCAAGCTGAAGAGGGAATTAGAATGAGGCGCTGATGCTGTATAGAACATATATTGCGCATATCATAAAACTGCACCATAAGGCGATCCAAAACTTGGAATTCAGAAAGTAAAAGGAGAGAAATCAGACCAAGGAACATATTGCATGGAGTATCGCAGACAGATATCAGAAGAATGGATAGCAACTGGAAAGGACTGTCTAGGACATAGTCCGATGGAGAATCCTAGTGGGCGGCGAACACCCCTCTTTATGAGAGGTAACAGGCGTAAATAAGTAGAATGAGATGACATTTTCAGGGTTAACCTTTTATAAGGTCTACCTTCCGTTATGAGAAAGCAGCATTGTTGCAGATGCTAAATGTCTGAGATAAACAGTTTTCTGCCTTTACATCCCTCTACGACTTAACCATCTGACTTTAAGTTGCTGTTTCTGTCTTTGTGTTCTTCAACTGACCTCCTTGGCATATGACCTAAAGGAACGTGTTTCAGTCAATACGGCTTGGTTGAATCATCACGACGAGTAAGCACGACCAACACGCCAAAACAGCAGCTACTTAAAAACAAATGTTTATAAACATTAGGTGACGTCTTAAGGTACATGGAGAGAGGGCCTGAAATAGTGACTAAGAGATAGGGCCGAAAATACTAAGTTGTGGTCAACACCCCTTAAATAAGTTGGGTGGAAGATAGTCGCACCTTTTGGACTGCAGTGTTAATTTTCACGTATATGAGTATCTCTTTGAGACTTAATGGACACCTACGAAAAACGACAGATGCTTTCGGGTTACAATTCGAGGATAGCAAGGTCGAAAAGTTTCTGAGTAAGAATTATCTACATACTCAAAGAAATACAAAGAGGCTGTGTCAGACCCTTTTCAGGCCAGATAAAATACATTCGTTAGAGGAAATCTAGCTCTTTGTATAACTGTTGAACATTTCAATTTACCAAAAGTGTGTGTTCTGAAGTTCTTAAAGATATCAAGGAGTTAACTCATGCATCTATTACTAACCTGGATACTTGTTTCTCTGTAGAAACTTGATAGTTGGATTATATACTTCAGTCTAAAAATATTTAATTTGTCGAAAGTTAAGTATCCTCGCTGATCCAGTTTCACGGTTTGAAGTGAATACATAAATATTATTTGTCATTACGTTTTTTGGCAAAATATTCAAAAATCTGTGTTTGACAGTGTAAGCTCGTTATCCTGTTTACAAGAAACTAGTTTAATGTGGACGACATCTCGTCACTTTTTAATTAAACATTCATATGTAATATTTTCACGATAATAAGTGAAAATCTTAACTGTTTTAACCAACGAAAAGTTTCACTTTTATTTACTATACGATCTACTGACTTGAACCATGACGAAGCTGATTTTCAACAAATATATTTGTTCAGGAATGTATGGAGACATAAAACGAGTGAACACATAACTGTTTACCATGTCAGCGTAGCGAAAATTACCGACACACCACAACATCTGCAGTTCCATAACCCGCCTAACTATCATTTTTAGTAAGTGCTTATTCATTTATGAAACAGTTTGGACTATAACATCCCTACAGTGCGTCGTTTTACCAGGCTCTGAAACCCACATTTCTACAAGTAACCTATTATATTAAGAGATACATAAAGCGAAAAAGACTAATTTTCACTAAAAATTCATACTGGTTCTTTCTCTCCTGATTTTTTTCATGCAGTCATTATTTGTGTTACTGTTCCGGTGTGGTTCTACTGTTATTTGGTCCTCAGGTTTACCATAAATAATTAGTGACAGGAAAATTGTATAACTCAGCATACGTACCTAGACTTTCGTTGAGATATGTGAGAAACACGTCAGAGTTTCAAATATTTCAAATACGTATATCAGCGAAATCAAACTTTCATTCGAGTTACGTAGTAATCAGTAGTTTTAATTTTCCGCAACATGTCTTATTGATACGAATCAATCACCAAACAGTTGGGATAACTGTCTGTGAAAAATAAACATGCACTACTGACTTACTGAGATTGTCACTATGAACGTACTGCTGAAAAATAATCACGACTAACACTATACGAACACTGTTACGCAAGCGTCAAATCCTTACCAACGTAGAACTGTCCGAATCTCAATACTAAGTGTATTCACTATTTATTTATTCAAATATTATTGGGATAAAAACCAAACGCGCCTTAAAATTTCCCCTTTGCAAAGTGTGGATATGGATGACTCGAAGAAACTTAGGTTCTTCAACCATGTAGGAGTTCTAAGATATATCGAACATATATGTAGTGCCAGTGAAATGTGACTAAGCCTTCATCAAATCATCCGTTAGCTAGGCTAATGAATGACGAACAGTTCTGTGATCCTTGTCAACACCAAGGACAAAAAACGCACAGCAGTTAATTGCACACCATGGACTGACCCATTCATCAGTGGTTGTCCTCTGTCACTTGTACCTACTCTTGCTAATATATTTCTGTTATAACGTCGTTTGTTCTGTATGTTTGTCAACGTGGCCACAGCACCTGGATAGGACGAAAAGCTGTTCCATTAAGAGTACTGACTGTGAGGCGTATCTGTTACATTTGTTGGCCCTAATGACTCGACACAGATAATCTTCGATGGTGATCTGTACTGGAGAACAAGACATAGAATAATACACTCTATTATTATAATCCCGATTATTGAGTTCTATACTTATTCTTTTCCATTTCTATGGCCTTTTGAGTTCGTCACTTACCGTGAATATATTCTTCTTTATGTTACTGTTGATTGGTACTTAAGCTTAACGGATTAGTTCAATCGATGTCACAAATCAACTAGGATTGTAGTCGGGTATCATAGTTCTATAACATTCATTCGCGACATGAAAATTTTTCTGTGTAATATACCCGCTAAAATATCAAATATTCGTATGTATAGCCATAGAGCAGCGCAATTACATATATTTCAGAATCTTATGTAAGCAAGACACGATCCACCATTAATTATAAATCCATCTTCCTGCTTATTTACTCTGAACTAATTTCGGTCATAACCAATCCACTAGAACTTTTTACTTGACCACTGCTTACTTAA